TTCCTTTTTCTGTTTGTTTTCAATTTACTACTTTTTTATTCTATTTTTTAAAAAGATTTATTTATTTATTTATTTATTTATTTATTTATTTATTTATTTATGATAGACTTAGAGAGAGAGAGAGAGAGGCAGAGACACAGGCAGAGGGAGAAGCAGGCTCCATGCAGGGAGCCCGACGTGGGACTCGATACCAGGACTCCAGGATAGCGCCCTGGGCCAAAGGCAGGCGCCAAACCGCTGAGCCACCCAGGGATCCCCTACTTTTTTATTCTTTGTGTCACTAAGTATCTGAAGCTTCCAGAGAGATTTTTCTAAAAGGTCTGGTGGTAGGTTCAGCTCCTCCCTCAGGACTGTATGTAGAAGAAGGTGATGATTGGGGTTTAAAGGAGCACTTGCCTGTCCCTAGGAAGGTCACCTTAGTCCAGAGGATGGGCCTGATCTGATCTAGGCATGGGAAGTGGGATGGTGGGGGCATTTCTCACATACATGATAAAAACCACAGTCCCATCTGACTATCTAGCCCTATAATCTTTATTTTCAGAGCCATTCCCCAGTGATTTGTTCATCTCAACAGCCCTGTGAGGCATATGAGAACTAAGGTCCAGAGAAATTATCTGAGCAACCTGAGCTCACACAGCCAGCTATAGGACAGAGCCAGGACTTGGATCCTTGGCCTTGGAAATTCCCTCTAGTCCCTCAAGAGGAGCTTGAAAACTCACGGAGACAGGAGGGCCCGAAGGTGCCTGAGGGGCAGCAGAGCTTCAGGGAATCTGAGCAGAGCCACTGGAAGAGGTCTGGGGCTTCCTGCTGCCTGAAGTGGGGTGGGGATGACAGTAAGGGGGAGCTAAGAAGGTGTCAGGTGCCGCCCACTGCCCAACCTCCCAAGGAATCTGTGAGACAACCCACGTTGGATATAAGACCCATAAGGCTACCTGACCAACACCTTCTCCCCATTTGGCAGAGGAGTAAAGTGAGGCTCAGAGTGAGACTTGGGCCCTCCCATAAGTCCGTAGCAGATCTAAGTTTGGAAGAAGGAGCCACAGTAGGACACAGACCCTAGCATGCAGCTCCCTCCTTCACCACCAGGACCGTCTGTGGCCCCTTCCCTGGAAAGCCCCCCAATAACTCACTTGTGAAACCACCAGCTCTCCACCAGTTCCTCGCTCAGCTCCAGCAGGCGGTGGCATTCAAAGTCCGACTTGCTGCACACGCTCTCAAGCACCTCCACCAGGCGGGTCTCACTGACCAGACAGGGTGTGAGTGATAAGACTGTGTTCTACGCCATCCCCCACCCTCCTTTAGGTGTCCTGTTACCACTACCCCCATGCCATGACTTCAAAGGAAAGGCCATGGGGCATAATGGAAGGGTAGTCAAATAGACCTGGATTCAAATCTAGTTAACTGACCTTGGACAAGTCACTTAACCTCTCCTGAATCTGTTTTCTCATCTGTAAAATGGAGACAATACCTGTCCTGCAGATTGATTATAAGATACCTCCATTCCTGCGTTTGCACAATGGGATGTAATACTCTCCTTGCTGGGTAAATGTGATTAAAAATACATTGCATAACAAGTGTTGGCAAGGATGTGGAGAAACTGGGACCCTCCTACATTGAAGGTGGGAAAGAAAAATGGTGCAGCCACTGTGGAAAACAGTTCGGCAGTTCCTCAGTAGGTTAAACATGGAATTACCATATGAATCAGCAGTTCCACTCTTGGTTATATATCCCAAAAGAATGGAAAACGGGTGTTCAAACAAAAACCTGTACACAAATGTTTGTAGCAATACTGTACACAACGGCCAAAAGGTAGAAACAACCCAAATGTCCATCAATTGAAGAATGGATAAGCAAAATTCAGTAAATCCATACAATGAAATATAATTAAGCTTTAAAAAGGATTGAACTACTGACATCTGTTATATTATGAACGAACCTTGAAAACAATACACTAAGTGAAAGAAGCCAGATACAAATGGATTCCAATGGAATCAGCAAATCCACAGACACAGCCAGCAGAGTAATGGTTGCCAGGGGCTGGGGGAAAGGGAGAATGGGGAGCTGCTGCTAAATAGGTATGTAGTTCCTTCATGCCGTGGTAAAAATGGTCTGGAACAAGACAGTAGTAAAGGCTGCAAAACATGTAAATGTACTAATGTCTTTAGGGGTACATTTTATGTTATATATATTTCACCACAACAAACTTTAAATATATATATATATATATATATATATATATATATATATATGCATACACATATATTATTTATTTAAAGGGTCTAGCATGTGCTTGGCATATAGGAGAAGATTTAAAAAACAAAAACCAAACAAACAAAAAAACAGGAGCCATTATACAGCTAGAAGTGCCCTTCAGGTTATCTTGGCCAATCCCTTCATTCCTAAATGAAGAAACTGAGGCCCAATAAGGGAAAAGAAAATGATCCATGTTACATAATAACAAACCCCTGGTTTCTAGTGGGCATCACAGTTTAATCCTTACCACAATCCTAAGAAACAGACAAAGCAAGTATTAATATCCCCAATTTACAGATTAGGAAAGTGAGGCTCAGAGAAGTGAAGTGACCTTCCCTAGGGTACACAGAGTCAGAACTGACAACCAGGTCTAACTCCAGGTCTTGTTGATTCCTTCTCCTTAACCTGACTTTGGAAAGGGGGAGGGCCTAGGATTCAGGCCTTTCATCTGGTGGTGTTATCTCATCCCACAGCTTTATAATACTGACCATATGCTGAAGACTCCCAAATTCAGGTTTCCAGCTCCTACTTTTCCCCTGAGCCTCAGACACCTCAATCTAACTCTACTTGGCTGTTTAATGGACATCTCAGCCCAATATGTTCAAAGAGAACACCTAATTCCAGCCCCCGCCCCAAATCGCCAACTGCCTCAGCTTTACCCATAGCAGGAAACAGCTCCACTCTTCACCCAGTTGCTCAGGCCCAAAAGTTAATGAGTACTTTTTATTCTTTTTCTCTCATACCCATAATGATTCCATCATCAAGCCCTATCAGTCCATCTGCAAAACACACCCAGAATTTGACGCATTCTCACCACACCCACCACTAGGTACCACACCGGCTCATGCTGTCGCACCTAGACTAGCCTCCCAAAGGGTCTCCCTGCTTCCTCTACTCCAGCCCCTAGTCTTTCTGCTACTTCACAGTGTAGGTACATCTTCTAAAGGTATAAATAATAGCACATCACTTCTCCGTTCCAAACCTTCCGACGGCTTTCCCATTACACTCAGAATGAAATCTAGACAGCACTCTGTGACCTTCAAGGCACTCTGCCTCCATGTTCAACACTCTCTTCTGCTTCACTCCCATCCAGCCTCATTTCAAATACAAGCAGCTCAGTCCCACTCTGCCCAAATCCCTTCCCTGTCACATAGCTTGCTTCTCTCCTTTGGCTTCTGTTCAAATGTCACACCTTGAACCCCACGCCTCCCCACCATTCTGTAGTCCACCCTGCTTTCCTGTTCTTCATTTGATAGGACCTTATTTATTTATTCACTGTCTCCTCAATTAGAACGTAAGCTCCTTGAAGATGGAATTTTGCCTGCCTTATTTATTGCTATGCTAGATATGTTCAGGGATACTTGTTGAATAAGTACTCCCCAAGAGGTTCTAGGCCCCCACAGTAGAGCAGAGATTGGGAGGTGAGGTATACAAACCCACCTCTCCAGGCCCTTACCTGTCTTTGTATTTGGACAACTTCTCTTCCTCCCAGGCCGTATTTCCACCTCCAAAGTTGTCCCGGATTGTTCTCTCCAGGCCCTGGAAATGGGGAACAGTAGTAACAGCTAAGAACAGTGCCTGGCACATTCTAGCTCTTGGGTATTTCACTGACCAGGGGACTGAGGCACAGAGAGGAGACCTGCCCAAGGTCATACAACTAGTAAACAACCAAGCTGGTACTTGACTCATGCAGACTTGCATCCCAGAACTGCTTTCACCTCCTGTGCCACCAGGTCGGGCCATCTCCCTCAAGGCTGCTCATGCACCCACCTTGTTGAAGCTGTCGACCAGTTCCCGGCAGGTATGACATGGATGGAGCTCAGTGGGGGGAGAAGACTGGGGAAGAGGAGACGGCTGGAGCCAGACGGGGCCTGGGAGACTAAGGAAGAGAGTCAGGCCCCAGAGCAGAGGTGGGACCAGGCCCCTCCGGGGCAGCGAGGCCATCTTTTCCCAGGCTGGGAACCTGTAGATGAACGGAATGGGTACGGCTCCCTGGAGGAGCCTGGTGAGAGGGAAAAGGGTTGGTTCTGAGGCGCCGCGGGTCTGGGAGCCCGGATCTGTTATTATAAGGCTAGCCTGGGGGAATGGCCCGGGGAATGGCCCGGGGAGGGAGGGGGTGAAGAAGGAGCCCGTTCTGCAGTTCCAAGACGGGAATAAGTTATCCTCGTCACCATGGGAGACGTGGCCTGAAGCCTCAGCAAGGGAGAAGTCAACTCGTTGCTGTAAGGTCTGAGTATGGGTTATGGGGGCCAGGATCAGCGGAATTAGGGAGAACGGGTCAGAGTCCAAGTATCAGAATAGGGGCCGGATGGGCGGTCTCGTGGGGCGGAGCCCGGAACGGAACCCGGGTCTAGAGGGGACGAGCCCGGATCCGGATGTGGAGAGCAGGGGTCGGGTTCGAGGCCTCGCAGCCTGCAACCGCGCGGCCCGCTAGCCGGCAGGGGAGGGTGCAGACCCGCCGAGGCTGCGCGGGAGGAAGAGCCCACCCACCGGGCCGCGAGCGCCGGCCGCTCGGCCTCCCCAACGCCGCAGCCGCCGCCGCCTGCGTAGGACGCGCAGCCTCCGCCGGCTCCGCAGTCCGGGGGGCGGGGCCCGCCCCGGCCAATGGCGGCCGTCCATGTGCCATTGCGTCATGCTGCGTCAGCAGCCCGCAGGCGGTGCCGGGCTGCACCTGTCCCGGCGTTAAAGGGCCGCGGGCGTGGTGCTCCGCCGGCTACGCGGTCGCAGACACCGGCGGGAGGCGCGGATAGAAAAATAGCGTCTGCCTTTATTCGAGTCGTTTCCCCCGCCTCACGTGCCATCCCGCGTGCCCCCCCCGGGGCCCCCGGGATCTCCGAGAGCCTGAAGCAGCTGGTCCAGGGTGGGCTGCAGGGCCCGGGACACTTGCTTGGCCCTCTCCCCGAGCCGCCCGGGACTGGGGGCGCCAGGCCCCTGCAGGGTCCCCAGGAAGTCGGGCAGCTGGGAGGGCAGGGAGAAGACCGGTACGCTGCGGAACAGGGCGGGCACGGCACCCGAATGGAGCAATCCGTCGAAGTAGGCCCCCACGTAGCGGCCGGGCGCCCGGCCCTGCAGGAAGTCGGGCAGCACGCAGCTGAGCGAGGCGGCGAAGGCGTCGTGCGGGCCGTGCGGGGCGGACGCCGACGCCGCGCCCTGCAGCCACTCGTGGCACAGCGCCACGGCCCCGGGCGAGAAGAGCAGGACCACCACACCGCCCTCCTGCAGGGTCTGGCGCCGCTGCGCGTGGAACCAGGCCAGGGGCCCCTGCGCGCTCAGCTCACGACGGCTCCAAAGGTCCACGGTCACCTGCAGCGGCAGCTGGCACAGCGCTGACGCCAGGGCGCCCACCAGGCGTTCAAAGCCCGAGTCCTCGGCCGAGTAGAGGAGCAGAGCCGCGCGGGCCGTGGCGGCAGCTGCCAGAGAGAACGGAGGGCAAGAGGAGACGTGAGAAGGCCTGAGGCCCGGCCCGCTGGGGGCGGCCCCCGCCCGGCGCTTGCTCGCACTCACCCCCCGCGCGGAGGTCCTCCTTCAAGAGCCTCAGCCACCCTGTGAGGGGAGAGGGGCGCGGGCGGCCCATGAGCTCAGCCGCCACCTTCTCAAGGGAATTCTCAGGGGGCACGCCCAGCCCTGTCCCTGGGGAGTAAGGGGACTAGCGGGTGCTCACCTTTCACGTGGTCCTTCCTGAAAAGGAAGAGAAGGAAAAGCACAGAGGCCAAGAGTAGGCAGGCCAGCCACACCAGGGCCCAGCGCTGGTGAACGTCTAGGAGACCCGGGGGAAAGGACAGGCTGGTTAGATACCTTACTTTTCACCCCACTTCACTAAGGAGAACTCATTTATTTTTTTATTTTTTTTTAAATTTTTATTTATTTATGATAGTCACAGAGAGAGAGAGAGGCAGAGCCACAGGCAGAGGGAGAAGCAGGCTCCATGCACCGGGAGCCCGATGTGGGACTCGATCTCGGGTCTCCAGGATCGCGCCCTGGGCCAAAGGCAGGCGCCAAACCGCTATGCCACCCAGGGATCCCAGGAGAACTCATTTAAAAGATCTCTTGAGGCTGCCGTGTGGTGACTGAACTGGCTCAGAGAAATGGAGAGATTTGCCCAAATCCACGGTGTAGAGTGTCAGAGTCAATATATGGACATAGGTCCATCTACTTGGGTGACCCTTGGATAAGTCACTTCATCTTCTGTCTCAGTTTTCACCTCTAAAACTGGGTTCACAATAGTACCTTCTTCATAGGGTTGCTGTGAGGACCACCTATATTAATACAAAGTGGGGCGCCTGGGTGGTTCAGTGGTTGAGCATCTGCCTTACGCTCAGGGTGTGATCCCGGGTCCAGGGATTGAGTCCCACATCAGGTTCCTTGTGGGGAGCCTGCTTCTCCCTCTGCCTGTGTCTCTGCCTCTGTGTGTGTGTCTCTCATGAATAAATAAATACAATCTTAAAAAAAAATACAAAGCCCTTATGCTGGGCATAGTAAGGGCTCAAATGTCAGGTAATATTGTCTCCTAAGGCTAGGATTGTTGGGCCTTGACCTCACTGTTTTGATGACTCCAACAGCCTTCTAACTGGTGTCCCTAACCTCTTTTTTGCCTTCAAGTTCTTCACTACATGGCAGGCCCAGAGATCTTTTTAAAATACAAATTCGATTATTGCCTTTTAGGAAGCTCCTGCTTCCTGCTCTTAATATAAAATCCATTTTCCTAAGGGGTACCTGGATGGCTCAGTTGGTTAAGGGTCAACTCTTGATTTTGGCTCAGGTCACGATCTCAGGGTTGTGAGATCGTGGGTGTGGAGTGTGCTTAAGATTCTCTTCTCTCTGCTCCTTCCCCCTCTTTCTCTCTTTAAAAGAAAACAAAACAAAAAACCCAATTCCTTACATCAACTCCCAAGGTCCTAGATAGCCCTGGCATCTTTGGGATAGAGGTTTGCCTTCCAAGACTGAGGCCTGCCTTCCAAGACACTCCAGCCACACTGGCCACCTTGAAGTTCTCAAAAAAGCCTCTTCCTCTCCTTCACCTAGCTCAGCCTTCAGAACACCCGAAACCTTTTCCTGGCCTCACCCCAATCTAAGTCAGGCCCCCATTATGTGCATTTATGGATATAGACACTTTATAATGAATGCTTCAATAGCTCACATTTACTAAGCATAAGTGATTGTTTAGCTAATGTCTTCCTAGCCTTCTATGGCTGCAATTGGAGCAGGGATTGTGTCTTTTTGGTGATGCTTGAATCCCTGTAAGCTATCTTATTTTTTGAATGAAGGACGGAATGTCCCTCTGATTGATCTGAGCCAGGGAACGACAAGGCCACTGCATGTGCCCCCCTAGGAATGTCTAGATGCCAGTCTTGGTATAGAGAGGAGGGGCAGTTCTTGTAATACTCACACTTGTCCATGGGGCAGGCCCATAGTGCTCTCAGCTCATCTTCCCACAGCTGTAAGATACAAACAAAACCAAGGCCACAGCCCCAGAAGTTCCACCAAGTTCTGGCCAGCCTGATCTCCAAATTCCCAGTCTCAACTTTGCACACTTCATACACACACAGGTCCCTGAAAGCCACTCTTTGATCGTGCTGTGCCTACTCCATGCCAAATCTGGCCCACATGAAATCACCCTTCCTTGAAGCTCTCCCTGGAACCCAGTGCTTAGCACATATGAATTTGGTTCTGTTTACTGTTTTCTAGCCATCAGTGAGCAACTTGGGAACAGGAACTATATGCTTCTTCAACTCTTGGCTTCCCCAGGGCTGGACACAAAATAAGCAGAAATAGATGATGAGTGGGTACTAGAGGGGCAGTGAGGAGGCCCCTGCCTAGGAAGAGTGAGAGTTTCCCTGGTGCCCTTTTCTAGGCACAGGAAGAGATGGAAGAAGTTAAATACAGACCTTTAGGCCTACTGCCCTTGGGCATTGGCACAGGGCCCTCCTGCCACCTACTCACCTGCAGACACTGGCCTGACTGCAGGTCTTGTAGTAATTGCTCTCCAAGGCGAGCTGCCCTCTGCCAAGCCAAAAGGAGGCTGTCACCTAGGGGCACCACACTTAGGAGACCACCAAGCTGCAGCTGAGCAGAATAGTGGCAGGGTGGGGGGTGGTGCAGGGCTAGAGACTTGTAAGAGGTCGCTGAGAACAGGGCCTGGGTCGGAGTCCACCCCCAAATACCCAGAGACCAGCATAGGGCCTGGCACAGAGGAGAAACTGAAAATTTGAAGCCAGATTTGAGATGGAACCAGAAAGGTACATGGAGGAGGGTCCACTCGTCCTCACCGTGGAGGCCTTGCTGAGTAGTGGGGTGCAGCCACTGGGTTCTAAGGCACAGAGTGATCTGTTGTCCTGGAGGCCTCGTGTCTCTACCAGCAGCAGATCATCCTTGAGGGCCCTGAGGGAGTCTGGAAGGGGGGAGAGCCCACTCTGAGTGAGACCCAGCCATGCTGGAGGCTGCCACTTGCTCCCACCCCTTCCCATGCCTGACCTCCACCCCCATGAGCTGGCACTTCCAGGGCTCACCTCTATTGCAATGGCCCTGTCCCAACCTTCCCCAGGCTTCACTCACCAGCCCACAAGCACTCCTGTAGCTGCAGCTTCTCCCTGCTGCTCACCTGCTTAGAAGAAGTCAAGGTTAAAGGCCCACAGAAAAGCAAGAGGCATGGCCACAACAGAAAAAAAGGACAGTAAGGGGAGGCCTGTCAGGATGTGTGTGGGGGGCAGGGGCGGGGGGGGGGGGCGTCCTGCATTCTGGACCTAATGTTAGGCAGATCAGGGTTCAAGGCTGGGTGATAAGGAGATACTTTATTTTTCTCAGCCTCAACCTCATGAGGGCATCTGATCTGAAGAGCCTTATGACCCTAAATTATCTCTTTTCATGTCTGAAAAGCACTTTATACATTCCCTTCTCATCTAACCACCTTTACCAAAAGGCCTCACCTGACGACTCCACTTCTATACTGTATTATTCACTGAGTCTACCGTCTGTCTTTCTCCATCAGAACATAAGCTCTCTAGAGTGGGTACATGTATTGGTTTTATTCACTACTGTGAAGTAGTTAACTATCATCCTCATTAAACAGATGAGGAGACTGATGTTCAGAGCAGTGAAATGACTTGCTCAGAGTCCCACAGCAGTGCTAAAATAAACAGTACGAATCTCACAGGTAGCCTATAACAGAAGACAGTGAATTATTGGGGGGGTGTCCACGTGGGGTCCAGCCCCTTCTTACCTGGACACAGAGGTTGGGGTGGGCATTCAGCAATGGCAACTCAAGTGTCTTCTGTGGAAAAGGGGTAATGGGTGAGGTCAGGAAATGTGATCCCTGGGCTCCCCTTCCTTTCCTGATCCCAGGAGCCTCCCACAACTTCACTTACATTTACAGTGACATTTGCTTGATACAGAGGCGGGACCAGCGACTGGCAGGGGCCCCCGCCTGGTGCCTGCCAACATAGAGTGGCCTCAGCAAGCAGTGAGCAGGGTGCATCTAACCGCCAGCCCCGTGGGGGCAGTAGCTGCAGCCGGGCTGCACGCCAGAGGTTCCGGTGTGCCCGAGGGTCTGCGAGGAGAGGGTGGGGTCACTGGGCATGCAGCATGTGGCCACCTGCACCATTCCACCCTGGCCCCAGCCCTGGTCTGCTCACCCTCCCTAAAGGGACAGACACTTGTCCTGACAGAGTCGGGTTCTAAAGGCCACACCTGGAAAAGAAATAGAGCTCTATTAGTCCATTCTACCCAGCTGACCCTCCAGGAATATGTGCCAGGCCCTCTGCTAGGCACTGGGGATGCATTCATTCAACTAATATTTCATCAACACTTGCCCAGTCTTTTTCCCTTTGTAAAGCCCTAGAGTTGCACACTTTTATTTTTCCAGCAAATCCTATGCCATTATCTAGAAATACCTTAATTCAACAGACTTTTAATGAGTACCTACTCTGTGTCTTAGCACTAGGGGTGTTGATAACTAAATCCATAGTCATTTTGTGTGAACCTACTATATGCCGGGTACTGTGCTAAGTGTTAAGACACATTCATTTATTTTTCCAATAGAATATATATGTATTTTTAAAGTAAACTCTACCCACAGTGTGGGGCTCAATCTCATAACCCTGAGATCAAGAGTCACACGCTCTTTTGACTGAGCCAGCCAGGTACCTCATTTGTTTCAATAAACTTTTATTTTTTAAAAGATCTTATTTATTTATTCATGAGAGACACAGAGAGAGAGGCAGAAACAGGCCCCATGCAGGGAGCCCAACTCAGGACTTGATCCCAGGATCATGCCCTGGGCTGAAGGCAGCGCTAAACCGCTGAGCACCCAGGCTGCCCACTTTCAATAAACTTTTAAAGCACCTCTATTCCGTACTTAGCCCTGTGGTAAGCAGTATAGATAATACATTAATTTATTCAGCAAACTTTTAATTAAGAACACCTACTATGTGGCAGGCATTGTGCTTGGCAGTAAGGATGTTTATATCACAGCAAACATTTCATGAACATCTGTTGTGTGTCCTATCATAGTGTGTTTGTAGAGTTTCATTCATTCATTCATTCATTCCTTTAACAGACTTTTTAAAAGATTTTATTTATTCATGAGAGAGAGGGAGGCAGAGACAGAAGCAGGCTCCATGCAGGGAGCCTGATGGGACTCGATCCTGGGTCTCCAGGATCAGGCCCTGGGCCGAAGGCAGTGCTAAACCGCTAAGCCACCCGGGCAGCCCCTTTAACAGACTTAATTAGCACCTACTACATTCCAGGTAGGAATTGTGCAAGGCTCTGGGGGAGTTACTAAATTTGAATTAGGTATTATTTCCTTGTCATCAAGAAAATTACAAAGTCACATTTGTAGTAAGGATAAAAAATGTATATAAATTAACAAATTGATCACTCATTTATTGAGCACGTATTGTGTGCAAGAAGATGCCCAAATGAGAAAGGAAGTGATAAATGAACAAGAAAAGACAGAAGTGCAAGAAGACTGGAAGAAAGGAGAGGCCACACAGTTGAGGAAAAGCTTTGGGAAGCTTTGAGGTAACATTTGAGCTGGAAGGATTTGGTTGTATAGAAAAGAAGTGAAGGCATTTCAGGTAGTGGAAATGACAGGTGTTCATGCTAGAGATAAAATAGAGAGGACCTGATCACCATATAAATGTGCAATCAGAAGAGGAAAGAGAGACACCTGGCTAATTCAGTTGGTAGAACATGCAACTCTTGATCTCAAGGTTGTTAAGTTCAAGCCCCATGCTGGGTGTAAAGATTACTTAAAAGTAAAATCTAGAAGAAGAAGAAGAAGGAGGAGGAGGAGGAGGAGGAGGAGGAGGAGGAGGAGGAGGAGGAGAAAGAAGAAGAAGAAAGAAAAAGAAAGAAAGAAGAAAGAAAGAAAGAAAGAAAGAAAGAAGAAAGAAAGAAAGAAAGAAAGAAAGAAGAAGAAAGAAGAAGAAGGACGCCTGGGTGGCCCAGCAGTTGAGCATCTGCCTTCTGCTCAGGGCGTGATCCCGGGTCCAAGGATGGAGATCCGCATCAGGCTCCCTGTGGGGAGCCTGCTTCTCCCTCTGCCTGTGTCTCTGCTTCTCTCTGTGTGTCTCCCATGAATAAATAAAATCTTTTAAAAAATTAAATAAATAAAAATAAGGAGAAGGAGGAGGAGGAGAAAGAGCCAACATATAGAAGCCTAGATACTTCCTTTTATAAAATCTCCATAAGGCTGGCATTGTTATTCCATTTACAGACTCAGAGAGGTGAAGTGACTTGCACAAAGCCACAGTTAGCAAATGGCAACAGTCAGGATTCAAACCAGTCTGAGTTCACAGCACATGCTGTGTTTTCCAGAGGAGCACAAAGAAGCAATTGGAGGAGCAGGGAAAGGCCTCAAGGAAGAGGTGACATTTGAATGGGGCCATGAGGGCAGCCCCGCTGGCACAGGGATTTAGTGCCGCCTGGAGCCTGGGGTGTGATTCCGGAGACCCAGGATTGAATCCCATGTCAGGCTCCCTGCATGGTGCCTGCTTCTCCCTCTGCCTGTGTCTCTGCCTCTCTCTTTCTCTCTCTCTCTCTGTGTCTCTATGAATAAATAAATAAATCTTTAAAAAGAATGGGGCCATGAAGCATGAGTAGGAGTCCTGGTGCATAGAGGCTCATGAAGAACATTCAGAGCCTGCAATAGGCAGAAGACATGGCAGCAAAGGTCAAGAAAGGGCTAGTCACCTTAGGGAGAAAGAGTTCCCATCTCAAAGAGGAGTGTGGAGGATGGTGAGACAAGGAAGGTAAAGGCCACCTCCCTCATCAATGCCACAACCCCCTTCCCCTGGCACCTAGCTGCACTCTTTTCTTACCTGAATACAAAGGCAAGGAAACAGGTCTGTGTGGTTCAAGGTAATGGTCTGTGGCCCAGTCTGTGGGACAAACAGAAGGCGAGAAGTTGGAGAAGATGAGGAGGAGGAAGGCTGGAAGCCAGACTTGAGGAAACCAGGCAGGCAGCTGTTCCCCCACCAGTGTTTCTTGCTTTGGGTGTGGGTTGCTGTATCCTCTTCAAGGATCCCCTTTGATGATGCACTCACATCCTTAGCCTGGGCATCAGCCTAGAGTGGGAATGGACTTGGGGAGGCAGAGCCCTCACCAGGTTTCTGTGCCACCAGGGTTTTGTAGGGCCCTGGATTTGGTTCCAGTACAGGGAGAGGCCAAAGTGCTGCTCCTCAGAGACATCCAGCACCAGGTATACATCGTCACCATCAGCAGACACATTGAGCCAGGGCAGGGCTGTGGGGGGATGCAAAGAGAAACTTCTTTCACCCTTTTTCTATACTCAGCCCTGGTCGTATCCCTCCAACTGACCCTTTGGAGTTTCCTTCAAATCCCTGAGACTGGAAGGCCCTTGGAGGGCAGAGATCTCAGACCAGACTTTGTCCCTAGCAGCCAGCCCAGTATCTTGAAACAACTCTTCTCCCTCTGCAGCCAGAAGGATCCTATAAACACTGTAAGATAAATCATGCTTCTCTGCTCAGAACCTTCTGATGAGCCCCCCAAATTACTCCCAGAGTAAAAGCCAGGGTCCTTACAATGGCTTGCAAGATCCTACCTGTTCTAACCTCATTTCCTAGCACTCTTGTACTTAATTAATCTGCTGCAAACACACTGCCCTCTTTACTAATACTTAAACACACCGGATACATTCCTGCTTCAGGCCTTTGCACTGGCTGTTCCCTCTGCATATGGAATGTTTTTCCCTCAGATACCCATTTGGCTCCTCCCATACCTCCTTCAGTTGTTTACTCACTAGAGTGAGGACAGCCTTGACTGCTGCAGCTCCCAACTCCTTTATCTTTCTTCCCTTTCCCCAAATTTTCTCCATAGCACCAATTACGTCTTACTGCATAGTTCACATCTCCCATGTGTTTATTGTGTCCTCCACCACCTGTACCCTGACCTTGACTCCCATTTAGAATGTCAGCTCTGTAAGTCCGGGATTTTTGTCAGTTTTGTTTATTGGTTTATCTCTACTGCCTAGGACTATTCCTTGGGCAGAGTCGCTGCTCAATAAGTATCTGTTGAACAGGGACACCTGGGTGGTTTAGTCAGTTAAGCATCTGCCTTAGGCTCAGGTCATGATCTTGGGGTCCTGGGATTGAGCCCTGCTTTGGACTCCCTGCTCAATAGGTCTGCTTCTCCCTCCCCCTCTACCCTCCCCCTGGGTTGTGCTCTCCCGCTCTCTTTCTCTCAATGAATAAATAAAATCTTTTAAAATAAATGTCTGTTGAATAAATGAACCAGTGTCTACTGAATGAATGAGTGCACTTAACACTTTTTTTTTAAAGATTTTATTTATTTATTCATGAGAGATACAGAGAGAGGCAGAGACATAGACAGAGGGAGAAGCAGGCTCCTCACAGGGAGCCCGATGTGGGACTCGATCCCCAGACCCGGGATCACACCCGAGCCAAAGGCAGACACTAAACTGCTGAGTTACCCAGGCATCCCAACACACTTTTCTATATGTATCTTATACCACAGTAAAAAAGAAAATACAATATGAAAAGTGAACAAAGTGAAAATCAAATTCAAATAGTGCCTAGGAAAAATCATCAGAGCCTTGACTTTCCTAACCTTTATTTTATGGTTTAATATTATTTTTATTTTGATATATGGTGGTAGTGGGGTGTACCATAATCTTAACAATGCTTTGGGCCTCTAGATGTTCCTCATACTAATAAATAAATCTGTTATAAAGAGTGAGAGATTTACCTTCATGTTCCCAATGCGTGGTACAGAATAGGACCTACTGCAGTTATGTGTGATGAATGAATGAACTCTATGAGCATCTGGATTGTGGGAAGCCCAGACCTGAAGCCACCTCCAGGGTCCCTCACACTCTAGACCCTGCCCCTCCCTCCTTCCAGCCCCACTGGCCATAGCCCCTACCCCAGCAGCTCTGGATGCTGTCCCGGACTTCGAGCCCCTTGCAGTCTGGGGAGAGATCACAGAAAAGCCTCCAGTGGGACCAGGAGCCAAAGATAAAAAAGGGGGCAATCCAACCCATGGGGAGCACTGGGAAGGACTCCTTATCCCCTAAATACCAACCCATCTATCCAATGCCCAAAGCACCTTCCTCAGGCACTGGGAAGTAATATCACCTGAGGAGAGGAGACAAGAGGGATAGATTCTGGGGAGGATGGGAGCTCAGACCTCTGCCTGAGAGTGGATGGGACTAGGAAGGGGGTGAAAGCAGAATGGCAATGGTCAGAGGGGAAAGAGACTAGAGGGGCCAGGACTCAGGGTCCCTGAAGCTCTGGGGCACTTACCAGGCAACTGCTGTGTGAAGTTGAGTTCTTTCTGGTACCTGGGCTGAGTGTAGGACCAGATTCGCACCTCAGCCCCCAGAGCAGCCTCAAAGCAGTCAAATACTACAGAGCCCTGTGAGGAGAGGAGTGGTGGATGGCTGGTGGTATAGGCTCAGAATACAGGCCAAGGGCTCTGAGCTCCTCCATGGGCAGCTCTACTCCCCTCCCCCCAAGCCAATGACTCTATACTGTACAGCCCCAAATTCTCCCATTAATGTTTCCTTTAAAGGCCTCTAGTTCTAAAGCACACACCCTAAGTAGGGGAGGGATAAGGGCCCTCGATATCTGAGTCCCTGCCCCCACCTCTGCTGTCCTGAGCCATGTGGCCAAAGCTAAGGTGATCAGATACCCCAATACAGATGTGGGATGCCACTTCCCACAGCCAATGCCCTAGTGGTCCTCACAACTGCCCTTTGAGGTGGGCCAGCAGATTTTCTCCCGTTCTACAATTTTCAAGGCAAGAGGATATTGGCTAGGAGCTGGGGGCATGAGGGAAAGTCAAGGGTTTGCGTGATTTGGCCCAAGTGAAGTTACACCTTCCAAACACATGTGGCCTCCTGAAGTAGGGAGAAGCCTCAACACCCTGCACCACGGTATATACACAGGGCAGACATGGTATTGCAGAAAGCCCAGAGAAGTGGATCCAGCCCACAGACCTCCCCGGTCTAACCTCAGTTTCTGTCTCTGGAAAATGAGGGTAATAATAAACCCTAGTTCAGGCATACTTTTGAAGATTACAAAAGAAAGTGAAAATTAAATTTCCTGAAACCCTTCAGAGCTGGGCATTACACCAGGCGTTTTACGCATACCAGCTCATCTACTTTTCACAACAGCCATATGAGGTAGGACTATTATTATTTCCATTTTACAGATAGGAAAAAAGAAGCATAAAGGCTGAAAGGGCTTGCCTGAAGCCCCGCCAGAGTCAGTACACAGAGATAACACACACAGAGATAACACATACAAGAGGACTTCACAGATGTCATATTTAGAAGATAGTCATTGCTATTATTATTATTTCGCATACCACAGACTGACCAGGCTGCGCGAGGGCAGCAGGCACTTGCACCTCCAGCAGGACGCACCGTGCAGTGGGGTATGCCTGGAAGGAGAGCACCACTTGGGCCTGGAGAAAGGCTGTGAGCAACAGGGTGGGGCACTGGTCAGCCCAGAGGCCTTGGGCAAGGCCCTGGCTAGGGGCAGTTGGGCCAGCTGGGTTGTCCTCACCATTCCCAGGCTCCTCCAGTTCTGGATCAGCTGCTCTTCCAAACTTGTCCTCATCTTTAGGCTCTTCCCAGTGGCCTAGAAGGAGCCGAGAACAAGGCCCAGGTCAGGCCCCAGCTCTGGGCTGGCCTTGGGCTTGGTTTCCTTCCTGAAAGCCCAGTGCTGGGAAGGAGGGGCCAGGCCTGGGGCCTGGGGGGTAGACAGGGAGACCAGGCTGACCTGGGGGTCCTATGATCAGTGTTCTCCAGGAGAATACTGAGGATGCGCAGGACTGCCTGACCAACTCCTCTGCCCTTGTGCCCATCCAAACGTGCTGACATGTGCACATACAGTTGGGAAATATAATGCTCACCATGCACAGCCAAGTGGATGGCCACACGCACACAGAGGTCACAGTCAGTCTCCTGGTAGCACCTCAACACCAGTTCTGTCTGCAGGCGTGTGGGCACCAGCACAGGACCTGGGGCAGACACGATGCTCCCAGGCAGGCAGAGCACGTCACCATCTGTGCATAAAAGATAGTGGGAACTAAAGCTGTTCATAATGCAGAGGTTAGTTGTACCTGACACCCCCAGAAGGCCAAGGAGTTTGGGGCTCTTCCCAGGCTGTGGGTGGGTGGTGAGGGCATGGAACTGGAACATCACCCCTCCCCTCCCTTCCACCAACCTGGACAGTTCTTTTCTTTCTAACAGTAGGGCTACTCACCCCAGAGGTGGCAGGAAAGGCCCTGGGAAGGAGGTAAAGAGTGTCAGAGTTCATGCCATGAAATCTAGACATTTCTCCCTGCCTGATATCCCTGCCCACCCTTCTGGGCCTCCTCATTCAAGCTCCTCCCAGAAGACAAACCCAGCTCTTGCCCCCTCCTCATTCTTCTCTTATCCCATCAGCACCAGACAGACCAGCCAGGGCAGTTCTGGTGGTAGTGACAGTGACAGGAACCAGGCTAGGGCCTCAATGGGCCGCAGACTGAAACTTGTGCTTTCCTCAACCCTCCCAGTGCCCCAGACTTACCGGAGAGCAGCGGGCAGTGTCCTGAGGCCCCATAAGCTTCTCTAAAGAGAGGACCATGGGGCTTCGGCCCAGTGCCAAGGACAACAGGAACCAAGGCACAGGCATCTTCCAGGTGCCAGGAGGCACCAAGGCCCAAGGCCCTGTCCGTCCCCCCCCAAAGGGGGGGGCAGACACCGTACCTCTGCTCCCACTCAGCCCCAAGCTTGCGGGTAGGAGGGGCTAGAATCCCTCCTCAGCCTGGGGTCCCGGTGCTGGCTTGAGTACTCCCTCTCCTGGGAGTCCTGAATCCCGTCCCAGTCCCAGCCAGAGTGCTTTCGTTTTGGCTCCCGGCAGGCAGCAGGCTTTTCCCGCCCCGCCCAGTCCCTCCCACCAACACCAGGCCTGGGAGCCAGCAGCCTTGGACTGGGGTGGTGGCCTTGTCTCCTTCCCCTCTCCTCCTCCTCCTTCTCTGCTGACACCTGGCTAGGAGGGGCCCCTGATGAGGGTGGTGGCAGCACAGCTGAGTAAGGGAGCTCTTACTCACCCTGGGAGTCCCTAAGGAAGAGGCCTTGGGCAATCCTGGGGCATTTCCACTTCCTACATGAATCTGAGATTTTGGCACCCATTAAGTTCCCTCATACTGTGCATCCCTCTCTTCACACATCTGCCCTGGGACTCAATTACCCTTTGTGGGGCAGGAGCTCTAAAGGCAGAGAGAAAGGGCATAAGAAAGTGGGCTTTTCACCCACTTCCTGGCTTCTGCTCAAGTGTGGTATGGAGGGAAGAAACTCAGCACCCAGAGCCAGGCAGAGGCCCCGTTCCTGCTGTTGTCCTGGGCTGGCTGTATGACACATGGACCCTTCTGAACCTGTTCACAGTGAGGATCAAGTTTTCCAGGTCCTCCTTTGCCTTTTCAGAGGCATTGCTTCTGAGAATGTGAAGGATGTGGCTGTGGATGTGGACATGAAAGATTTGGGCCTGCAAACCAAGGCCCAAATGCATAACAACACCCAGGCAGGGCTGTGTGGACCCCTCTTCCAACTCAGTATCCTGGGTCTACCAGAGAAGCACGTTGTGTCTCTTGGCTTATCCATTACATTCGCCTTTATTCATTTTTCTTGATCTTGGTTTCTACCATGTCGGCCCTGGCCCTGGCGACCCAAGACCAAAACCCCTTTCCCTGGGTCAGGCTCCCTCCCTTCTTCCCTCCTCTGGGCACAGCTGCAGTGTGGGAAAACAGTATCCCTGCCACAGAAAGGGGTTTTCTCCCACCCCCCCTGGAGTCATCCCTCACTGAGAATTGCTACCTCTCCTGCCTCCTCTACCTCTGCTCCATACCTCTCAAGCCTGGACTGGAGCATGTGCAGACTGCTCTTTCTGGAACTTTGAAGAAAAGAAGTGGGAAGATTCCCCCCATCCCCAACAGGACTGGAGTCAGTGGAGCCCTCAGTAAACAGAAACTCTCCCTGCTGGTTCTGAAAGGGTAGGCATGAGGAAGAAGCCAGACGCATAAGGAAGGGCTAGGACAGCGAGGCAGGTGCTCTGCTTTCAGGCTAGCAGCCAAAGGATTTTGGGCCAGTAGTCCTGAGGAGGCACCCCAAGGATTCTAGGGTAGAAGGCTCCTTCAGGGATTCCAGCCAGTACCCCTACGCCTGTCTCTGCTCAGCCTCGGTGGGCACAATTTGGCGGCCTCTCGTTCCAGCCGGTGGCACAGCTCCAGGCGACCCCGCAGGCACTGCCGATCCCCGAGGCGGCCTCGGCCGGCGGCTTCCGTGGAAGGCTGCGCGTCCAGCGCCCGCAGCAGGCGTGGCAGGTCGCGCAGCAGGCGGTAGCGCGGCAGGGCGCGCAGTGGCTGCGGAATGTCGCCCTTGGCACAGAGGCGACTAAAGTAAGCGAGCAGCAGCAGGGGGCGCGGGGCAGCGCGGAGCAGGGCGCGCAGGGGCGCGGAGCGGGGATCCGGGCCCCGCGCTGGACTGGGGCCCGCACTGCTCCACAGAAGCAGCACGGTGCCTTGCTCCTGCGCCACGCGCGCCCGCGCCGCCCACAGCCACGGCAGGGGGCCCACGCGCGCCACACGCGTCCCCTCCCACAGGTCCACGATCACGTCGCGCCCGCCGCCCAGAGCAGCCCGCAGCAGTTCAGCCAGCGCTCCCACCAGGAGCCGCTGCGCCTCCGAGTCCGCCGCGTGCAGGAGCAACACGGGCCGCGCTCCGCCAGGGCCTGGGGGGGGGGGGGGGAGGAGCAGCAGATGAACAAGGTAGGGGGCTGAGGGAGAGCCCAGGACTTCCCCTCCCCTACTTCACCCTCAACCTCCGCCCCGCCCCATCCCCGAGCCTTGGGGCTAATTCATCCGGTGTCCCACCTGACTCCTTATCTGCACTGGGGGTGCGTACCCAAGACAGCTTTAGCCTATAGGATGGCTTTGGGTTAATTAGATAAAAGCGTCCGGAAGGGGCCAGGTCTAGGGCGCTAGGTTTGGCAGGAGCAGCGCCGGCTGGATTTCCGCCCCACTGGTCTCATCCCAGAGAGCACTAAAACAGCGAACCATCTGCACAGAGGGACGTTGGCGCTGCCTTAACCATTCCTGACCACTAGGGGGCCTGCAGCTCACCACCTCGGGGAGCACAGAGCTCCACGCAGCAGCACGGACATGGCTCTGCCAGAAGGGAGCCCAGGCAGGGGAAGGGTGGGGAGCAACTAGCCTAGGTACTGTGCGGACCTGAATCCTCAGTTTACCCCAGAATGAGCGTACCTGACAGTGGGCGCCGGCGGGTGAGGGCTAGAACAATGCCCAATAGGGTGGCGAGGGCCAGGATTGCCAGGATCAAGAGCCCCAGGTGTCTATGAGAGACTGAGGCAAGCAGGGTGAGGCCAAGCCAGGCTCTTCATTGCCCAAACTCCTTCTTACCCCACCCCTCCTCACCCAAGAACTCACCATCCGGACATAAGAGGTGCTTCCAGGAAAACTGAACATCTGACCTCCACACCTGAGGGCACAGAACCCCCATCCTTGTAAGCCAGGGTAGCCCCTCCTCCCAGGGGATGTTGAATGGGGGTAGAGAAGGGGAATCACCCTAGGTAGGAAATTTCTCCAGCACAAGGTTTGTGTTTGGTCCAGCTCCTGCTGTGCCACACAATAGGTCAAGAGGGGCAAACTCAAAAACTAAAGCCAGGGTATCTATGAGGACCAGGAGAACACAGGCCCTGAATTAAGTAATCAGATGCCACTGAGCCCAAGCCTGTTGTCACCATGCCTAAATGTGGATATAAGAGTACCAGGTTTTCTGATGACTTTTTTTTTTTTTTCAGGAGAAGCCAGAAATCAGCAAATCAGCTTTTAAAAATATGACTCTTCAATATTTAAATGGTAGCAACTCTCCAATTTTAAGCACCATGCTGGCCAAACCAAACATTTTTGCAGACTAGATTTGCCCCGTGTGTCCACCTGTAGAGTAGATGCTAGAGGAATGTGTACAGAGTGAGGGCAGGATTCCTTACCAGGACACAGCTCCCTGGCTTCAGGAAGGGAATGATGAGATCTAGTGTCACTGGGCTTGAGCCCTGAGTCTGTGTGAACAAAGAGCAGAATGATTGTCCCCATAGAGTCTAATCAGACTCTGTCCAGTCTGAATCTTTGCCCACACTCTTCTTCCTTTCTACCCACCCCTCACCCAAATCCTACCCAGACTTAAGGCCAAGTGCCACTGCTGACAAGAAAGAAGTCTTCCCCCTGCTTTATTCTCAAGCATCCCAGTGATCAATCCCAGATATAAACCGCTACATAGGGACGCCTGGGTGACTCAGCAGTTGAGCATCTGCCTTCAGCTCAGGGTGGGATCCCATGGTCCTGGGATCAAGTCCCACATTGGGCTCTCTGCATGGAGCCTGCTTCTCCAAGTCTGTCTCTGCCTTTCTCTCCGTGTCTCTGATGAATAAATAAATAAAATCTTTTTAAACATAAAAAATAGGGGCAGCCTGGGTGCCTCAGCGGTTTAGCACCTGCCTTCAGCCCAGGGTGTGATCCTGGAGACCCGAGATGGAGTCCCACATCAGGCTCCCTGCGTGGAGCCTGCTTCTCCCTCTGCCTGTGTCTGTGCCTCTCTCTCTCTTTCTCTCTCTCTCTCTCTCATGAATAAATAAAATCTTTAAAAATAATTTTAAAAAAATAAACCGCTGCACAGATACATATTAATCAGGCGATCAGGCACTCATCAACAAACATGCTCTGGGTGTCTACTTTGTGTCAAGCTCTGAGGAAAGAAGACACAAACATTGTCTCTGTCCTCTGGCAGCTCATAAACCAAGGAGCCTAACTATAACCTGCCTTCCTTCTCTGCCCTGCATATCTGAACGGATGGCTTATCCACTGGAAAGAACCTAAATTGTGAAGTCAAACTATAGATAAAAAAGTCCGGCTTAGGGGCAGCCCGGGTGCCTCAGCGGTTTAGCGTCGCCTTCAGCCCAGGGTGTGGTCCTGGAAGCCTGGGATGGAGTCTCACATAGGGTTCCTTGCATGGAGCCTGCTTCTCCCTCTGAATGTGTCTGTGCCTCCCTCCCTCTCTCTCTCTCTCCCTCTCTGTGTGTGTGTGTGTGTGTCTCTCATGAATAAATAAAAATCTTAAAAAAAAAAAAGGCAGGCTTAACTATGCCTTTGTGATTCCTTGCTGTGTGGTCTTTGTGTGGAGATAGGTTACCTCCCTCCATGACTGTCAGTTTCTTCATTTGTATGTAAGGACAATAGTCTCTATTTTACTGGGTTATGGAGAGCATCACATGGGAATATGCATGTTAACACTCTATCATACACAGTACAGGGTGTATTCTTTTAGTAGTAGTAGTTTTTATCACGCTGGGGACACCTTAGGGAAGGAGACTGTGTTATATTCTTTTCGTGTATCTTCCAGGGCCTAAAACAAAGTAGGCACAGAGTAGGGATTCAGTAAATGCATGCTAAATTGGGCAGAATTGACTGCCGTCTGTATATAGGCAGGATATGGCCCCACCCTACTCTCTGGGTACTGGTTAGGAAGTTGACCAGAGTCTCCATCCTTCAGAAACACCCTCTACCTCCAACCCCTATACCACCCCTGTCCTACACCCCATTCTTCAGCCAGCTGTCAGCAAATGCTAACTCAGTGACTCTCAAATCATGGCTGAACTCAATGAAGGTGGTCTTCTAGCTCCCAGAAACAAATGAGTCCATGGATTTAGCTCTCAATTTTAGGTTATCCCATGTCACTTTGTCTTAAATCTTAAGCATGGCTTGGTGTTAAATCTTAAACATTCTTTTTTAAAAAATACTTTATTTATTCATGAGAGACACAGAGAGACAGAGAGGCAGAGACACAGGCAGAGGGAGAATCAGGCTCTACACAGGGAGCCCAACGTGGGACTCGATCCCAGGTCTCCAGGATCACACCCTGGGCTGAAGGCGGTACTAAACCACTGAACCACCCAGGGTTCCCCAAATCTTAAACATTCTTAAACATTTGCTACCCCCTATCTGCTTGGAAGCCCTCACAGAAGGCAAAACAAATAAGCAAGCTACCAGTGAAGGTTTAAGAAAGAATTTGAAAGAGCTAGTCATGCTTAGTTAGACTGGTGCTGTGGTTTGATGGATATATTTGATTGTGGTTAGTATATCAGATACATAGAAGAGTCTGTTAGTCAAACTGTTCTTAGTTGACATAATAAAATTAAATCTGTCAGTAGTTAACAATATTCTGCAAAGAGCACTTCAGCTTCCGGGGGCTCTGCCTCCCAAGATAGTCAGGGAACATCTGCCAAGTACCTTGTGGAGACAAACAGAAACACAGAGGGAGAGGACAGCTGGGTCCAAGAGATAGCATTGGTATAAAATGTGGCATCAGGTTGAGAGGGTCAGAGGACAGCTGGAGGTGGGATGCCCAGTCTCTTGCCTCTGTTTATCTCGTCCTCTGTAAATTCAGAAACTAAAAGGATTAGAAGCTGCTCCATTGAAGACCCCACAGACTGGCAGAGGAACCAACTGAATAAAGGCTGATCAAGTAAATAAATAACCAGATGATATAAATTAGAGATTTGCTTGCCTACACTTGCTATGCTCTCAGCAACAAGACTATGGGGGAGGAGAAGGGGAAAGCCCTGGCTGGGCCATACCTGGCTGATGCTGTAAACAGGGGGCACAAAACCGTCCTGGCCCAAGCTTGGGTGGCTCCAGGCAGCACTGAAGGTGGCATGAATTCTTGAGGAGAAGTGAAGGACCAGCTGCTGGGCCTGGGTATCCATGCTCACATTCCAGGATGGAGCTGCCAGGGTGGGAAAGGGCATGATGGGACACACTCTGTTTGTGGAAGGTGGTAGGAGCTGGGCTGTGGTTGACAAAGAAGTTGGAACAGGGCTAGAGTGTGGCTTGTCACAGTTGAGGAAGGGTTAAATGGTGGAAGGGGGTCCCAGCCAGGGTCGCTTGTTGGCTCACCAGTCCGGTGGGGGCATTCAACATGGCTGCTATTTCTAAAAGAGAACTGAGAAATCCAAGAATGGCAAGTCAGCCAGCTCCAGGTACCATCCATACCCCTACCCATCCACTGTCACACATGCTTGTACCTTGAAGCAGAGCTGGGGGTGCAGGTCTACTCCTTCCAAAACATACCACTGTGGTAAGAAAAGGCAGTTAGTCAGGGAGCAGGGCCCTGGACCCCAGCCTTGCCCACTCAAGCTCTGGGGAGGCCGCTCTCACCCCCTCTGCCTCTTGCGCTGTAGCATTGGGGAGATCTTCACAGAAGGTGTGCCAGTTCTGCCTCTGGCAGAGGGAGGCCTGCAGCTTCAGGGGGCAGCGAAGTGTTAGGGCCATGACCATCTGACTATGCTGGCTGTAGTCGGTAAAGTGCACTGACTTCCAGAAGTCTGAGCCATCTGGGCAGGCGACAGGCAGAGGCAGAGTGAGGGCTAGGGAGGCCTGGGCCCGGGGTTGCCCTCCGCCTCATTTTGCATCCTTATCCCCTGGGGCAGCAAAGGATGACTTTGTAAAGGTGCTCAGTCCAGTTGCTGGCATGTCTAGGTACCCAATAAATGAGGAGGACTTCTCCCTACCTTTTAAGACCTTTCCTACTTAGCTGTCTCATCTCCTTCCTGTGCCTCCACTCTGGCCAGCTCTCAGGTTGCTCCCCAAACTCAAAATCTGCATATCTTTGCTTAGGTTCCTCTCAGAACCAGGAATGTCCCAGCCTCCCCTGATCTCCTTTTGAGACACTGCCCATTTTCTGAGCCCACCTCAAGTGTCACCTCCCATGAGAGACCTCCGATCAGACAGCCTTCATGGGCTTCTCCCTTTCCTGAGTTCATGGCCTACAGCCTAGTTCTTAGTTATAATGGTACCCTAGACTGTAGGCTGCTTTGTGCTAGTCTTTTATTGTTTTGGGGTCCCATCTCTTTAACTTGGGATAATCACATGAATATGGTGTTTTAGACATCATCAGCCACTTTCACATATAAGATTGAATTCAAGCCTCGTTAACAGTTGGCAAGTAAGGCAGGGCGACTATCAGGTTTAGAGAAGAATTAGTGGGAGGTGACTGCAGGACTCCTCACCCATCCTCTTAGGACACTACCTCCTGGGTCTCATATTTCGAACCTAGTACAATGTTCAATACTCTGATTTATTGGCAGGCTGATTGGTAGATATGGTAGTCCTTCTTTCTCCCCCACCAACTCCAGGGAAAGTGCCTGCATACCTTCTGGAGGCTTCCTCCACAACATAGGTGTGAAGTGTGTGTGTGTGTGTGTGTGTGTGTGTGTGTGTGTGTGTGTCAGAGAAACAGAGAGGCAGTGAATGCACAAGAATGCATATGTGCAGCACTTACAGGCTTCAGGCCAGTTCTGGAAGGGACATTTTTTGCGCCTCACAGTGTCCTCTTGCAGGTAGGATGCCTGAGGGGACAGGGGAGCAGTCAGGGAGGGTCATAGGAAAGGCTTTTCCTCTATCACTCAGACCTGAAACTCATTCTGGCTTGGCCTGGCCCTGATGTAAGCTGCCTTACCGGCAGGGCACTGAGGAGGAGAAGCAGTACAGGGTATAGGCAAGGGTAGGTGGTGAGTGACCCGAGTACAGGAGCAAGCTCAGTAAATGTGAGGATGAGTCCTCTTCTCCCTGGAGAGGGGAGGTCCACATTTGTCTGCTTTTAGCTTTCCTGGCTTCCACTCTCAGTGATCCCCAAGGCATGCCCTGTACGGACCCCTCCCTCTGGACTGCCCCAACCCCCAGGGTTGCCCCATGTGTCTGTCTGCCCCTCCCCTTTTATCTCCTACCCAGCTGACAAAGACCCCTGCATTTTTGGTCTAGTCCAAAGAAGCCTTCATGCTTTGTAAGAAAAGGACTGCCATGGAGGGCTCATGCGGACGAGACTTTTGGAGCCGTATGGAACCCTGTAGGGGTCACATGTGCCCCCACCGTGACTCCTCAGAACACACAGTGAAGGTAACTGCATACTCTGTCTCTGTGGGTTGAGGTCAGTCTGAACCTAGGGAAGCTGGGTTTAGGATAGGACTGAGGTTGGAATCGCCCCCCAAAATAGCTCATGTTCAGCAGGACACTTCCCTCTCTGACCCGACATGTGGCTTAAAGTCCAGCTGGCAGCAGTCTTCCCAAGCCTCTCATCAACACCCTGTCTTTCTAAGACCTGACTTACTTGGACATATGGTTGACCAGCTGTGCCTCTGGGAGACCTACAAGTGGAGCTGTGGAAAACCCAGACCTTTTGTTCTGCTCACCTCTATGCACAGACAGGGCAGAAGAAATTCATAAGGCAGGTCTACACCATGGCCCCCAGACACAATTTTCTGTTGACGAACCAGTAAAAGGAGAGAAGAAATGCCTGAGAAAGAGCTTAGGCACCCTGGAGCAGGGCAGTAGGAAGCTGGGACCTTGGCCAGCACACCCTATTCTTCCTCTTAGACTTATTTCTTTCACTGAGGAATTTCCTTTTGAGGTGGAAGGTGTCCCTGATCTGTAGTATATTTGCTCTAGCTATCTCAATATATGGAGTGGGGAGGGGGAAGAAATAGGGGAAGGATCCTACATTTATGGAGCCCATACTGTATGCCAGGGAGGATGCTAGATGCTAGAAGCATTAATTTGATTAATTAAATGCTAGCACCACAGTGATCTTCATCTTAGAAATGAAGAGAGCCGGGGAATCCCTGGGTGGTTCAGTGGTTTAGTGCCGCCTTCGGCCTGGGGTGTGATCCTGGAGACCCAGGATTGAGTCCCGCGTCAGGCTCCCTGCGTGGAACCTGCTTCTCCCTCTGCCTGTGTCTCTGCCTCTCTCGTTCTGGGTCTCTCATGAATAAATAAATAAAATATTAAAAAAATAATAAATGAAGAGAGCCAAGGGACACAGAGGTACAGCCTCGGTCCCTGTAGATGGTATCAGCTACATACCAGGGCATCTACAGCAACTGGAGGTTGAAGTGGAGGTATTAGGCCTGGGCTGAGTGAATGGGGGACATCACATTCTCCAAGGGGGAACAGCGAAAGGAGGGAGATGGAAGGGGACCCAGACAGATGTGACCGCTTCTTGGGGAAACTGAAAAGCCTTCTTAATGCAACCTGAATCTCGCTAGAGGCTCTTCTCCCCGGGGATATACACTGTATTCATTTCTCTGCTAAGCATTCATGGTTGCTCCAAGTCTCTGCCTGCCTTTTCCCGTCCCCTCCTCCCAGGTGACAAAGACTCCTGGATTTTCTGTCTTATCCAGAGAAGGTTTAATGCTAGGCACTTCAGATCTGTATGGAGGTCTCAGACAATGCCTGTCCCTCTCCGGGCCTCGGTCTCCCCACAGATACAACAATGAGGGCCTTTATGCTCCAGAGCTGTGTGATCTGGCTTTTTAAAGGGAGATGACACTCCATACCTGGGTGTCAAAGGGACTGCTCAGCTCTTCACATTCCAGTACCCACTGGTGACAAAGGCGCACGCTGACCTCAGGTCCTGGAGGAATGGTCACTTGAATAGCCCGTGCCTCAGACAGCAGATCAAAGGAGAACTCAGGCCCTGGAGAGGACGAGGACCTGGTAGCCTTGTCTCTTGGCCTACGCGCAGGCACTATTACTTGGCTGCACCCATCTCTGGTCATATCCCATGCCTACCTTCATGCCTTTGTGAGCTGGGTCTGGGGAGATCTTCCACTGCCTTTGGATCTGCAGGTTGGGTCCTTTTAGAGCGCAGCCCCTTGTGAGAGATGTCTGGGGAGGGGACAGCAATGTGATGACCCTTCTCAGACAGACAACAGCTACTCATCAGCTTCCTCTGTGGGCAGAGAACATGGGTGGTCTTAGGCCAGGAATTAGGCTTCTATTCCTGCTTCTGGAACCTGGGGCACCCCAGGAAGTCACTCAATCTTTAGGCCTCGGTGTCCCTAACTGTGTAGTGGACAGAATAGTCTTTACTTCATCGCCATGCTTTCTGTCTTTCCCAGGGCTAGAGAACAAAATGGGAGGCCAAAAAGGAAAGGGCTGGGAGGCATAGGGCAGAGCTGGAACTGGCAAGGGGAGTACCTGAGAAGATGCTGGCATCTTGTGTCTCCTACAGAACCGGAACTTATGTGACTTTTTGTATTTCTGCACCAGGAGGTAGAACCAACCCCCCTGGAGGCCTGTGCAGGAAAGGACATAATTAACAATTTACTATCCAGGCCTTCACTGCCCCTCCCCTACCTGGAAATGTGGTCTGATGTTAGACAGTAAGTCATTTCAGATCATGGAGGGTAATGGTATCAAGCTTCTTTAGTCCTGAAAGTTATGATACAGTCAAAAAAGGACTAATTCCTTAGGCAGAGAAAAAGATATATATATATATATATGCACATCTATGCAAATATATGTGCATATACATGCAAAAATGTCCATTGTTGGGCAGCCCAGGTGGCTCAGAGGTTTAGTGGTGCCTTCAGCCCAGGGCGTGATCCTGGAGACCCAGGATCAAGTCCCATGTCAGGCTCCCTGCATGGAGCCTGCTTCTCCCTCTGCCTGTGTCTCTACCTCTCTCTCTCTCTCTGTCTCTAATAAATAAATAAAATATTTAAAAAAAATGTCCATTGTAGCATTATTTACAACAGTGAAAAATTAGAAACTGCTGATTCTTAAGCAGTGTTTGGGAATTTGTATGTGCCGGCACTGAACTAGGCAATAAAAATATAGAGTTGAATAAGAAAGACCTTACTTCGCAAAGAGAAGGTAATAATAGTAAACTCACAGAACTAAAACAATTTGATCTCAAGCATTGGTGCCAGTAGAAAGGAGAAACACCTTCACAAAATGATACGGCTGAACCCATGAATATCAGTCGTGGTCTCCTATTTAAGGATGACCTGTCTCTGTTGAGGTTGACAACAGGAGAGACATCTGTTCTAGGAGGGTAAGTCCCACCTTCCTCAGCCTGGGGACCCCCAAAACACCCCTAATGCACATCTCCGTTGAGAATAGCCCAAAGGGCTGTTTCTCATACCTGAAGGATCTGACACCAGATGCAGGCACAAATAATAGGGGCAGAGCCAGAGCTGAACACACCAAGGCTTTAGGGACACAGGAAGGGCCAACTGGGTATGGCAAAGAATACAGGCAGACCTTCCTGGGAAAGAGGAAAAGAAAATCAAATGGTAGAGTCCAAGGAGGTCCCTCCTGCCTCAGACAAGTTGTACTTGAGACTGAGATGTGTGGCTCTGGGCAAATGACTGACCTGTCGAAGCCTCAGCTTCCTCATTCATAAAGTAGGACTGCTGTCAAGATCAAGTAAGATAGCATGTGGGAAAATGATTTGCAAACCAGAAAGGGACCCTAAGATGTGAAGGATCATGGTTGTATCACTGATAAGAGGGAGGGACCTGTTAAGGGGGAATGCCTAGAGGTTATCCTGTCTCTCCTTTAATTCCCCCCCTGCCCCTCAGGGGCAACAGATTTCACAGTACAATCCTGTTCACTATGCTGCTCTACCCCTCAGAAACACGGAGTCTGAGGGGCTAAGTGCACTGCCTGAAGCCACTGTGGAGTATGTGGTGGAACTGCAATGCAAATCCAGGCTTGTCCTGATTCTAAACCCCATGTTTTTTCCTTGATATGCTCCTTCCCAAGTCGAGAACCAAAAATTAGAATGGAAAGTTCACCAGGGGTCTGGAACAAGGGACACAAAAGAGAAGTAGGGCACGGAATGAGACTCACCAGTGAGAGTGTCTTCCTGAAGGCACAGGGCCCAGTAGGGGCAAGAAAGGAAAGAATTATTAGTAGAGATTCCTATATGGGGGACATTCTCCCTGTGGTCCTTGCCTCAAACCATCTAATTCCAAGGCCCATAAGCTAATAGCTCATCCATTGTGGCTCTTTTCTTCCCAGCTCTACCCCACCCAGGCGCTCAGCACACCAGAACCTTTGCTACCCCTCCAAGACCATATAGAGGACATACGGGAACTGCACCAGGGCACAGGGCCTTTGGAAGACATGAGAGGACAGGCAGAGGAGTGGGGAGCTTCACCAGCTTGGCAGGCAAGTGTCCCCACTGGGCAACAGCAGCATTACCTTACCATGTGGGAGGCCAGCAGACAGTGGGTGCTCCAGCGGGGCAGGTAGGAGCGGCCAATCTTGGCGGAGGCAGAGAGGCCAATAAACAGCAGGAGAAGAGGGAGGCACTGGGCTGCCAGTCTGGGGCTCCCCATGGGCTTCCGTGGGGTCAGAGTGCCCAGGACATGGCTGCACAGCCTGAAGGTGGGCAGCAGAGCCTTGCTGAGCAGCAGCGGGGAGCACAGGGAGCAGGAGTCGTCGCCTCTGCCTGTCCCTGCCCCGCCCTGCCCCAAAGCTCCTCCTAGATCCTAGATCCTAACCAGCCAGCCAAGCCACATTCCTTCTTCTCTAGCGGAGGGACAGAGCTCCCCCTCCCCAAGAAAACCCTGCTGCTCCCACCTGGAGCGCCAGGGGCTACAGCTCAGGCAGAGAAATAACAGGAAAGAGGCCAGTTAGGGGGATGGAGGCTGTCCCCACTTCTTAACCCCTCCTACTCCTGCCAACACCCAGTACATCTGACCCGCCCACTAATGCTCTTGGACTTAGAGCTTCCTTGGAGATGGGCCTCATCCCCTCACTTAGAGAATTAACAGAACTACTGAGCACTGTTCTGCAATGGGGTCTGGAGACAGTTGTGACCATAAGGGACACACTTCCCTTTGTGTCCCTGAGGCACCATTTAGAGTTGAGCAAAACGACAAAAAGTCCCTGTAGGATGCACATAGACCTCACATGCTCCCATATGCCTCCTGTTCCCCACCTGGCTGACCCTCAAGACTATAGCCCAGCCTTTTCTCTCCACCCAGCTCTTCTGGGTAAAAGCCTCCATGCCAAAGGGGCCTCCAACTTCAAGAATCCTCTAATCAGTACCGGCTGCTCAGAAAGCCCCAGAGCACACAGCTGAGCCCTGGAGCTGTGGGAGCAGGCCCCACGCACTGACCTGGTTTCCTGTGGTTTCCGATGCTGACGAGGCTCCAGGCTTTGTGGGGACCCTCCCCATCATCCCACAGCTTCCTCCTGCTCATGGAGCACTTGAACTGCTCAGTCCTTACCTTGGTGACACACACAGAAAACAAGTTCAGGGCACACCTACGGGGTTAAGTCATCTTGATATTGTTATTGTCCCTCTGCCCCTTTCAGTAGTCTGACCCTAGCCTTCTTCAAGCCAGTTCTAGTTCCTAAGTCTTCAGGTCCACTGTCTGAAGACCCATTGTACTCATTATCCTAAAAATACCCTCTGGCTTTTAAGTTCCCTAGAAGATTAAGGACCCTTTCCTATTCTTTATGTTCTCCAATGCCTAGCAGTGGATGTCAAGAAATGGGTGCTTTGTAGTTGAATAACTGCAAGTAATGACACATTTCATCTAAGCAACAGTTTATCTGCTTCACATTTGACAAGCACTTTCATATTTTTTTAAAGATTTTATTTATTTATTCATAGAGACACAGAGAGAGAATGAGAGGCAGAGACACAGGCAGAGGGAGAAGCAGGCTCCATGCAGAGAGCCTGACATGGGACTGGATCCAGGGTCTCCAGGATGACGCCCCAGGCTGCAGGCGGCACTAAACCGCTGCGCCACCGGGGCTGCCCGCACTTTCATATTTGATTCATTTAATCAACTTATGAGAAAGTGAGAATTATTCATTTTATAAAGAGATAAATAAGGAAGAAGAGTGATTTCATCAAGGTCTCTATCCAGGGAGCTCCAAATCTGCCAACCTCTCACAATTCATTTCTCTTTCTACCAGCCTACGGTCTCTCTTCCCCCTGCCTCATTACCCTCTTCCTGGGAAAAAGGTTTTCCTGGCACAGATCTGTTTTTTGGCCTTGGAGCCCATCACTGAGAAAATAGATCGGTAAGTTACCAAGGAAGAAAAAGGTGGTCTGGCCATACTAAGGACAGGTTAGGGGGTTTTCCCCCTCAATCTTTACCTAATCCACAGTAGTTTAGATCTACTTAATAATGCATTTTCCAATGCTGAGGGCATGAAGCGAGAAACTTGGTTCCATTCTCACATACTTCTCTTTCTCGACCTCTTTGTATCTTCTGATCTGTCACAGTGAAAATATATCCTTAACTGCTCCCTGACTGCTCCCTGCTAAGGTATGGTAGGAGAAACAGAAAAGACAGAACAGGGCCCATATTCACACATACAAAAGAAATAAAGAACAGAAAGGGAATAAAAATGAGAGCATAGAAAAGGAAAAGGAAAAAAGATGAGGAAGAAAGGGGGAAAGAAGAAAGAAAAGAAAGTCTGTGTTTTATTTACTGTCCTGCTGGCTTGCCTATTGATTATGGGACCTAAAAAAAATATTTAGGGTAAAATGCACTGCAGGAGAACTCAGGTACCTGGGAAAGAGTAGGGAATCAGTTTAAGATTTGCTAAACTCTTACTATCAGACTCTTAGGCCTGTGTGCTTTGCCCACATTATCTCATTTTGAGGTCTTTTTTTTTTTTTTTTTTTTTTTTTGAGGTCAGTCTTTTAAAACCATTCTACAGACTGGAAAACCCTAGGCAGATTAAGTAACTTGTCCAAACACAGAGATGGAGAGCTGGGACTCACCACTGCGTCTTTTCTGGCTCTTTCGGCCAGGACACACAACTTGGGGAAATCTGTGAGAGGGTGAAGGGTTTCTGGGTCCTAGAGACCACAGAATTACTCGACTTAGAGCAGTGCAACGTAGTTGGTAGGGTTAACAATGCGAAGGGAGAATTTGGAATAGTTAGAAAGAACATAGGAAAAGTATGTCTTATGATAGTGAGTTAATGGTCAGACTTCCAGAGGAGTAGGGATTATTGAGGAAGAGTCACCAAGGAAGGAGTAACTGTGGCTGGAATAGAAGATGGCTAGGTGGAGTAAAAGTCAACTGCAGTACAGAGCCCTGTCTTCTTGGAAGATGGCCGAAGCCTGTCTTAACCTGCGGTTTGTGTCTGAATGAGCTGACCCAGACTTCATGCTCTAGCTCTAATAACCTTTACTTGGGGACCAAGCCAGGAACTCAGGAAGTCTTGGCAGGCCCCTGCACATGCTCAGATAGAGAGCACGCTGTGGGGGCCTTAGACAGCTGTTTCTTGAGCCTTACCCTTACATGGACTCTGGTCAGATCATGCAGCAACTTCAGCCTCTTTCTGTCATGGCTGATTCCTAAAGTCCCTTGGGGCAACTGGGGCTCTTGTTAGGGGAACTTAGGCAGATGGGGCCAACATGTTAGACCAGACCAGTGCAAACCAAGAGTGGAAGAGTGTTCCTTCCTTACTTCTGCTCTCCCAGAAGGGATCAACCTCCAGAGTTCCAAGGCAAGAGATTATGCCTAAGAGAAGAGATAGGGACTCCCAGTCTGAAAGGGGGAAGTTAGCAATGCTTGTCAAGAAAAGGGATTTTGGCCATTTACTAAGTACTGCTTTGGTGTTTAATAGTATTGCTATGTACTATTCATATACATTATTTTAATTAATCTTCTCAATCCGGGTAGCTACGATGGTAGCTAGGATGATCCCCTTTTGTCAAATCAAATCAGAGATTCAAGTATCTTGCTCAAGGCAAAAGGCAGAATTCCAACCTAAGTCAGTCTAATTTTAGAAGCTGTATTCATTCCACTATGCCACACTGCCTTTCTCATGCACTAGGTGTTCTCTAAGGGTCCCTCCAATGCCTATAGTTGAGATCTGCAAACACTAGGGAAGAACCTTTCCACACATTTATATAGTGTTACATAGTTCACAAAGCACTTTCATAATACTTTATCTTATTTGATCTTCAAAACAGTCCTGTGAAATAGGCAGTGTTGATCTTAGCCATTCAATTAGGCGTGCTGGTACTCGAACCCATCTTCCACCATCCAAATACAATGGTCTTCCCACTAAATCAAGATCTCTTTCAAAACTCTTGTTTGCTTCAGGGAATACTACAACCATGAGGGAGGAAAAAAATGATTGGAAAAGCAGAATCCCAATAACCCAACAAGTAGAAACCTAAAGTAAATCAACTGGCTTTTTTTTGCATTGACAGTAATTTCCATAGTGGGTCTTTGAAAGCACTCTAAGACTGAAGTATCACTCCAATAAAAAATAAAAAAAAAAAAGTTTAACTTAAAATTTTTTTTTCATCCCAATTCTTTGAAAATTAGCAATTTGTGCCTGGTGGACATAATTCCATTACCCACACATTTCCATCTGCTTTCCTTTGTTCTCCAAATTCTACCCCTGCCTCAGTCTAATTCTTCCCTCTGTGCAATACATCCCATCTTCAGTTTACAGCAGGACAAGTTACTTTATTCAATAAAGGGCACACCATGTATCAGGTACTGAGCAAAGGGTAAGGAAAATACATGTAAACAAATACTTCTGTCAATAAGAGGTAAAATAAAACTGCTACCCAATTTCAAAGAAAGAACTCTTACACTTTGAATTGAAGCAACCAGAAGGCTCCCAAATTACCATGTAAACTGAATCTTGAAGGATAATAAAGGCATATAAAGGTATAAAAGGGAAATTTTTAAGCAAACTGGTAAAACATGAAAGCAATATGGGAATTCATGAGGTTCTACTGACTGAGAAAGACTGAGAGTATTGGGAGATAATGCAAGATAATGCAAGTGCACTGAAATCATACCTCATAAATGTCTGAAAGAGATTAAGGTATTTTATTCAAAAAACAATGGCACATAGTAGAGACTTGATGATCTAGAGCTGTGCTTTTTAAAATTTATTTATTCATGAGAGACACACAGAGAGAGGCAGAGACATAGGCAGAGGGAGAAGCAGGCTCCCTGTGGGGAGCCTGATGCAGGATCACGACCGGGATCACAACCTGAGCCAAAGGCAGATGTTCAACCAATAAGCCACCCAGGTGCCCTGAGCTGTGCTTTTGTTATACTCACTTGCACACAGGGATACAGGAAGTATGGGTATAAGGTAGAAAACAAGGAGTTAAATTTGGGATACACAGAGTTTGAGATGACAGGACATGCAGAGGAAGAAGTTTTGCAGTATAACTACTGCCAGATCTAAGAATGACTGAGTATAGGCCTAATGTTTATAGAATAAAAGTACTGGGGAAAAAAGGACTAGAACCCTTGAGAGGGTAGAAGTCTGCAATTAAGAGATCCAGAAACCATCCAGAGACTATAAAGTCAAGCCGACAAGATCAAAGGGACACACATCTTTCCTGCAATATTTACTGTGTCAGACTTTTAGGCGTGAAGAGGGTCTTTAGTTCACAGATCTCTTTCCCACTTCCATTTTTAAAGTTAAAAATGCTCCATATCATTAGATGTCGTGTTTATTAGTTGTTTCACATGTATATCATATTTCACCCAGATTACATGCAGGGATACTTTAAAATTCTTTTGGATACCATTAATATATTTCGAGACATATAAATGACAACCTGTTAACACTGAATAATAAACATGAATATCTTACCAAAAGAAGAGCCCATAATCCAAGCAAGATGAGGATGGGCTATTTTACAGGTAGAGAGATTAAAATCTATGGCCCATGCTAGTTTCTGTCAATCAGCAGCAGGGCTGCTACTATGACTAAGGTTCCCTATGCCCAGTTCACATCTCTACTGCTACTTCCAGGTTTCTTGGGAAACTTCTGCCTCTTTATGTCTAAGGCCACTCAAGCAACATACCTTTCACAATTTATCAAATCCCAACACAAGGCACAGGGTGGAGAAGGCAGTTGTAACTTTATTGAAGTTCTTTTTAAATAAAATGCTTTGCAGTGGAGACAACAGACTGCAGGGGGAACCTCCCAAATGTTTCTGCCCCACCACCTACAGATTAAAGTAGAATTTGATTTATTCCCTAACTCCTTCAGTCTTGATGGCTAAGGGGTAATGGACAAAAGTGGAGAGAATGACCAAGAGGCAAGGATGAGGTTCAGTCTTAAAGAAAAACCCTGAAGGGCCTCAAGTTCAACCAGCTGAAGTTTGTTTTATAGTTGTTGATCACCCAGTTCCAGCCAACCAGGAATAAATTAAATATAGTTTTGCCACTTCAGCTGATGGCAAAGGAGGGGCTTTCCAGAATGTGGGCCTAGTTTGCACTAGCTGCCAAAATCACCAACAATTTCACAACAGCTCCTCTACCTTCTCACTCTTTTCGGTGGGAGGCCCAGGCTTCACCCCACAGAAGAGTCCATCAGGCAGGCTTCATTTACGCTTCTTCTCCTGTGTGCTGGTGAACCAAGAGTCTAGGAGCTTCTTGCTGTAGTATAACTGCCAGGCATGCACTTGAACTGCCAGCACCAACACCAGGTACATGACAGAGACGGCAGAAAAACCAAAGAGGAAGCGGTAAGCCTTTCCATGGCGGTAGAGCTGCTGTGCAGCAGGGAACATCTCCATGCTGCCATAAATGAGGGGAGCTATGGAAAAGAGCCCCATGCTGATCATGGAGAGCACGAGGTAGCTAATGTTGTTTCGAGGGAAGGAGAGGAGGCCCAAGAGAGAGGGCACAATGCTCAGCAGATACGGGTATTCCCACTGATAGGGCATGGCCACCTGATCATGCGACAATAGCCTCAGGTGTCCCACGCTCATCTTGGCAACCAGGAGCAGCCATATGACCAGATGCACGTAGATCAGCTTCTTGATTTCATACTTGAGAGTCACACTGTGGGGCAGAGCAGAGGAAGAAGTACCTTTCATTCAAAATTTTCTAACACCAACTATATGCCAGGCAACTATATTGGACACTGGGATACAAATATGATTAAGATACAGTCCCTGCCTGGAGGCTTAGGGACAAGGAACAAAAGAAAAAATAAGGGGTGTCTGGGTGGCTCAGCCAGTTAAGTGTCCCACTCTTGATCTTAGCTCAGGTCTTGATCTCAGGGTTGTGAGTTTAAGCCCCACATTGGGATCCACATGGGGGATGGGAAGTCTACTTTAAAAAAAAAGAAAAGGAAAAATAATTAGAAAATGAACTGGAAGAGCTCTGGTAAATATATGTTGTCAGATATATAATATCACAGGAAGGAGTAATCAGTTCAGCTTAGGATGGGATGTCTGGAGGCTATCTAGAGGACAGTGATATTTGAGCTAGGCTCTGAAGGGTAGGTCGAGCTGGGATTCCAATTAGAGGTAATAGCAGGCAGGCAAAAAGACATAAGCATTGTGTTCCAGGAAAGCAGGTGGTGTGGCAGGAATACTTTGTAGTGGGAAGGGGAATAGCAGGATATGAAGTTGCAAAGACTATGAGTCAGATTAAAAGCAAAAGAGTAACTCAGAGCTGTGTTTAGAGAGGACTTTGGCTGAATTGTAAGAATATAGCCTACAGGAAAGATACTGGCAGCAAGGAAAACAACTCAGGCTGCCCATACTTCCCCAGTAGAGCAGATTTTATAGCCAAAGCAAGCACATATTTCTCTTATTATTCTAATTCTCTCGGGATCTCTATGTATCCTCTTCACACCCCTGAGGGCAGTTTCTGCTCTGGATAGTCACCAAAACCCTTGTGTGGTGATATCCTTTCAGGCAGGGGTCTAATGATAAGAATGAAATGAAGGCCCAAAGAGCTTCTTTGTCATTCTTCAGAACTCTGGAAAGAGGGGCAGCCTGGGTGGTTCAGTGGTTTAGCGCCGCCTTCAGCCCAGGGCCTGTTCCTGGAGACCCGGGATCGAGTCCCACGTCGGGCTCCCAGCGTGGAGCCTGCTTCTCCCTCTGCCTGTGTCACTGCCTCTCTCTTGTCTTTCATGAATAATAAATAAAATCTTGGGGGGGAAAAAAAAAACTCTGGAAAGATGTGGAAAAACATTCTGGGAGATTTTGATGGATTTAAGAAAAGAAAATCTCTTTTCAAAATCTTTTATTTAAAAAATATTCACTATAGAAAATGTGCAACGGTGGTGGTGGTGGTGGTGGTAAGTCAGTCAGTCAGTCACCTGGAGACTTCATGCTCCATGAAGGCAGGGACCAGCTTCCTTGTTTTTTTTTTTTTTTTTTAAGAAAACAAAAAACATTTTTATTGAAGGTATAACATGGAAACAAAGACCAGATCTGCTTTTGCTTACTCTCATACATATCCTCAGTGCCTAGCACAGATGCCTGATGGATAGAAACGCAGTAAGTTTTTGTTGAATGAATAAACGAATGTAGAAATCCCCGTGGGAGCGTTCCTAAAATTCATTTTGGGCGAGGAAAGGCTGGACTTTATGGTCTACATTCCCCCAAACGGCCCCAAATACAACAGCTACCATGTATTGGGCAGACTTACACGAACTACTACCTCGCTAATTCTTCACCAAAACCTAAATAGTGGATGGCTTTGCCCTTCACAGATGAGGAAACTGAATTTCAACTAAAACCCGGGTTTCCGAGGTCCCACGGCGAGGCCAGCACCGCAAGACTCCGGAGCCTAGGAGGCAGGGACCGGACCCTCCCGGGGCACAGGGCGGATCACCGAGCGGCGCTTACGGGAGCGAAGGGGCTTCCCGAAGTGGGGGCCGGGCCCCGAGCCGTCCCGGGAGGAGGTGCGCGCGGCCGGGCGGGGCGGGGTGAGCCCCTGAGGCCGGGCCCGTGCCGCTTCCCAGGCCTCCGTGCTCCTCGCCTCGCTTCATACCTCATCTGGTAGTGCATGGCGACGCGCTCCCGGTGCTGAAAGTCGCTGCCGTCGGTACCGGCCGCTCGCGGGCCTGCCCGAGATGCCATTATCCCCGCCCAGAACCCCAGGACCCCTCACGCCGACCCACCGCCGGGACTACCGGGCCAGGCCGCCTGCACACCACGTTAGCCGCCTCAGCTACCCACCCTCACAGCCGCGAGGTTCCGCGAGGACAACTTCCGGCCTCTCTGTCTCGGGAGGACCGACTCTGTGGTCACGCGCACGCGCACGCGCACGCGCACGCCGGCGGCGGCGGCGGCGGCGGGGTTCCCTCCCCCCAGCCCCCGCGCCTTCCCTTTTTGGAACGCGCAAGAAATTAATCTCTACGGATGGCGTCTTTTTGCCATCTGCTCGGACCATATCACTTCGCCTTCGAGCACGTTCACCTTTTTAAGCTGAAGACATCGCTGTCCCCACTTTACAGATGGGGAAGTGACAGTAGAAAAGGGTTCTGTAACTCTCCCCGCAGCACACGTGATTGACAGCCTCAAACTCTCTCCCCGTGGATGACTTAAGCGTTGCAAAGAGAAAATGGTAACTTGACAGGGGGAGGGGCCTAGGTGCACCCTCCCTCAAGGAAGTGAAGTTAACTGGGTCAGTGATGAGACAGACTGACATCTGTCTTTCCCTTACACTGAGCACCGGGCATCACTTCCGCGCTGTATCTGACAAAAATCCTTAACTTGCATCTAATAGGTGAATTGAAGGACATTCTTCTATAAGATAACTAGACTGTAGTTTTTTAGATGTCAAGGCTGTGGGCGTGCCTGGGTGGCTCAGTCGGCTGAGTGTCCGACTTAGGTTATCAGCTCAGATCTTGACCTCAGGGTCATGAGTCCAGGCTCCATGGTGGGCTCCACGCTGGGTGTAGAGCCTATTTAAAAAGTAAAAATGTTGTGGCACCTGGCTCAGTGGTTGGCTCAGGTCGTGTTCCCCGGAGTCCTGGGATGGAGTCCATGAGCAACCTGCGAGGGAAGCCTGCTTCTCCCTCTGCCTATGTCTCTGTCTCTCTGTGTCTCTCACGTATAAATAAATAAAATCTTAAGGAAAAAAAAAAGAAATACAATTTCCTTTTTTATTTATAGCTTTGGCATTTAAAATTATTTATTTATTTATTTATTTATTATTATTTATGATTTTATTTACCCGTGAGAGACTGATGCAGGACTGGATCCTTGGACCTGGGGACGACCTGAGCCAAAGGCAAACGCTCAACCACTGAGTCACCCAGGGATCCCGAAAATTGTATTTCTTAAATAATAAGACTTGAAAGTCTAAATGACCGCTTGATCCAATTTTTGTGTTAGTAGGCATGAAAATAACATCAATCTCATACATCTCTAGCACAGCTCTTGGGTGACCAGGTGCATCCTCAATGAGCAGTACATTCTGAAAGAAATCTTTTTTTTTCCTTCTAAGTAGTAGGTCTCAACAGCAGGCTTAAAATATTCAGTAAATCACATTATAAACAGACATGCTATTATCCAGAATTTGTTGTTCCATGTATAGAGCACAGAGTAGAGTTAGTATAACTTTTAAGGGCCCTGGGACTTTCAGAATGGTAATGAGCACTGGCTTCAACTTCAAGCCACCAGTTACATTAGTCCCTAACAAGAGAGCCCATCCTTTGAAGCTTTGAATCCAGGCACAGACTTCTCTCTAGCTATGAAAGTCCTAGATGGGGACACCTGGGTGGTTCAGTTGGTTGTGTCTGCCTTCAGCTCAGGTCATGTTCCCAGTATCCTGGGATCAACCCCCCCACCCCCAAAATCAGGCTCCCTGATCAGCAGGGAGTCTGCTCCTCTCCCTCCGCCCCTGCTCATGCTCTTTCTCTCTCACTCTCTCAAATAAATAAAATGTTTTTTTTTTTAATCCTAGATGTTTTCTTCCAGTAGAAGGCTGTTTCATATACACTGAAAATCTGTTGTTTCATTAGCCACCTTCATTAATGATCTTAGCTAGATTTTCTGGATAATTTGCTGCAGCTTCTACTTGCTGCTTTATCTTGCAATTTTATGTTATGGAGACGGCTTCTTTCCTTAAACCGCATGAACAACCTCTGTTAGCTTCAGACTTTTCTTCTGCAGCTTGCTCATCTCTCTCAGCCTTCAGAGAATTGAAGAGAATTAGGGCCTTGCTCTCAATTAGGCTTTGGCTTAAGGAAGTGTTGTGGCTAGTCTGACATTTTATTCAGACTATTAGAACTTTCTCTATATCAGCAACAAGACTGTTTCACTTTCTTATTATTCGTGTATTCACTGAAGTATCACTTTTACTTTTCTCCAATGACTTTTCCTTTGCATCCACAATTTGCTGTTTGGTACAAAAGGACTAGCTCTCAGCCTGTCCCAACTTTCAACATGTCTTCCTTACTAAGCTGAATCATTTTTAGCTTTTGATTTAAAGTGAGAGACTTGTGATTCTTCCTTTCACTTGAACACTTGGAGGCCATTGTAGGATTATCAAATTGGCCTAATTTCAATATTGTTGTGTCTTAGGAAATATAGAGGCCTGAAGAGAGGAAGGCAGGGAGAGAAACTGCCAACTGGTGGAGCAGTCACAGCAATGCTGGTCAATGAAGTTCTCTGTCTTATATAGGCATGGTTCATGGTGCCCCCAAGCAGTTACAATAGTAACATCAAGGAGCACTGATCATAGATCACCATAATAAATAAAATAATAATGAAAAAGTTTGAAACATTGCAAGAATCACCAAAATGTGGCACAGAGAAATGAAGTGAGCAAATGCTGCTGGAAAAATGGTGTTGACAGACTTGCTCAATGCAGGGTTGCCATGAGCCTTCAACTTAAGAAGAATGCAATATCTGTGAAACACAATAGAGTGAAGTATGATGAAGTAAAGTATGCTTGTATCTGTCTCCTCCCCCTATACTCTCTTGAGAATCTTTTCTTGCCCTGTGGAACTTCTGCTGACCCTTTAGAATCTATCTTATTACTCCAGCAAAATTCACCTGCTCCGACATTAGCTCCCATGGTTCTTGCTCAGTAAGTTGCAGTGTTTGTTAAGCCTAATTTAGGACCATTTGTGATAGAATCACCCAGGAATTTTTTTTTAATCACCCAGCATGTATTTCTGGGGGTACCTGGGTGACCCAGTCAGATAAGTGGCTGGCTCTTGGTTTTGGCTCAGGTCATGATTTCATGTCCTGGAATCAACCCCAGCATGAGGTTCTACACTCAGCAGGGATTCTGCTCGAGGGTTCTCTCTCGTTCTCTCTCTGCCCCTTCCCCCACTTGTGTGTGTGCTCTCTCTCTAAAATAAATAAATAAATAAATCTTTTTAAAAGACCATATATCTCTGGGCCTTGCCTTTACCCAAATAAATCATTTGGGCTGAGATTCTTTATTTTTAATCTAAAATGTTGACTAGGGGGGATCCCTGGGTGGTGCAGCGGTTTAGCGCCTGCCTTTGGCCCAGGGTGCGATCCTGGAGACCCAGGATCGAATCCCACGTTGGTCTCCCGGTGTATGGAGCCTGCTTCTCCCTCTGCCTGTGTCTCTGCCTCTCTCTCTCTCTCTCTCTCTCTGTGTGTGTGTGTGACTATCATAAATAAATAAAAATTAAAAAAATAAAATGTTGACTAGGTAATGCATTTATGTGGTTTAGAAATCAAACAACATAATACATTTCTGCACAATGAGCACATGGAAAGATGTTCAGCACCATTAGTCATTAGGGAAATGCATTTCAAAATCTCTATGAAATTCCACTCCACACCCACTGGGATGACTAAAATAAAAAAGATAGACCATAACAAGTGTTGCCATGGATGTTAGGAGAATTGGAACCCTCAACTATGACTGGTAGGGATGTAAAATGGTACAGCTATTTTGGAAAATTTGTTTGACAGTACCTAAAGAAATTAGAGTTACTAATATGGCCCAGCAATTCCATTCCTAGATATATACCCAACATACATCTATGCAAAAAATTGTACAAAACATTTATAGCAGCATTACTAAAATAGTCAAAAGTGAATAACCCTATTCATCAACTGATGAATGGATAAAAAATGTGGTATGCCCATAAATAGTTATTTGGCAGTGAGGAAGGACATATACTACTTCGTGTGTGAACCTTGAAAATATTATGCTAAGTGAATAACTAGTCATAAAGGACCCCATATTGTGTGACTCCATTTATATGAATTATCAAAATAGACAAAGCCATAAAGATCAAAAGCAGAGTGGGGATTGACAGGAGGAAAAAGGGATTAATTGTAATAGGTATGCAGTTTCTTTTTGAGGGTGATAAAGATATTCTACAATTATATAGCAATGGTTGTTGGACAACTTCGTGAATATACTAAAAACCACTGAATTGTACATCTTAAAAGGATGAACTTTATGGTATGGGAATTATATCTCAATAAAGTTGTTATTTTAAAATGCAAATGGTCATAAGGGAAGGGCAATAATGAAAAGGTGTGATCATTTACAGCAGCAAGATTTTTTTTGTTTCTTTTTGTTTTAAGTAGGCTCCATGCCCAATGTGGGACTTGAACTCATGACCCTGAGATCAAGAGTCACATGCTGTACTGGGTGAACCAACCAGGCACCCCTAGAGCAGTGATATGTAACTGCTTTGGTACCATAGACATCTTTGGGACCCTGGGGACCCCTTCTCAGAATGAAGTTTTTGAATGTACAAAATACAATATAGAAGATTACAGTGAAGGCAAATTGTATCAAAATAAAGTTCTCTGATTTTTTTTAAAGATTTTATTTATTTATTCATGAGAGACAGAGAGAGAGAGAGGCAGACATAAGGCAGAGGGAGAAGCAGGCTCCACGCAGGGAGCCCAACGTGGGAGGCAGGCACTAAACCGCTGAGCTACCCAGGGATCCCCAAGTCCTCTGATTTAAAAAAAATACATGCAGTGAAAACTCCTCCTCTCAACTCTGCTCCCCATCTTCCTAGGTCTCAACCCAGTCTGCCCAACTCCACCCCAACCAAGAAAACACTTTCGTGTTTTTTTTAATGTTATTGTATCTATTTCCAGAGTTTTTTAAAGCACAGACAAACAAATGTAAAGTTATATTCTTGTTCTACTCTTTCTTAAATACAGAGGGTACTGTATTATACACACTATTAAAGACCTTGCTTTTTGTTTCCATG